ACTGAAGATTAGGACACCAAAGTCAGAGCTGAGGATCTCCCCAGATGCAACCCCAAAAGTCCTTTTCTTTTGGCTAAACCACCACCTGGATGTAGCTTCTGGTAGTCACTGGATTGGTCTAAGCTGTTCAGGTCTCTTAAGGGAGATTCTCAAAATGCAGGGACATCTGGATAGAATAAATCCATTGACTCAACTCAGAATTCTCCATAGAGTTTCAGCCCATAAAGTCTGATATCTTGGTCTGATCTGTTTGGCTTTGGATACAGACTGAATGGAACATAGCTGTGATGACTCTAACTTACCTGACTATGTATGATCCTTTTCCTCTACTATCAACATATCTGTGCAGGCCTGTTTGCTCCTATTTGAGCCTACAGTTGGCACAACCCTACCCCCTCATTGCATCTGTGCTTCAGTCTTGAAGGTCTTATCTTTAAGGTCCAATCCTGTGTCATTATGTTGAGTAGTAAACTTCACCATCTTTTTAGCCACATCTATCTACTCAGTCTCCTTTATTGCATATTCACTGCCTCCATAGGTGTGACTGTGCCCATCTCCATTCCTACCTCCCTCACCAACTCCTCAAACACACAAACCAAGCAACCTCCTCCTGTGTGGCTTCCTCCGCTAACTAGACAGTAGATTCCATCACTACAGTCTTTGTAGTGTGCTCCCTACCACTAATACTGCCCCTACCCTGCCTCCAGTCCATTGTTCCCCACCCCTGTAAACCACACCTAATGCTCCTAGAATAAAACCCTTTCTCTCCATTCCATCTGGCTACTCCTCGATTTCATCTTATTTATCCAAACTCTGGCATTCACTAACACCACATTCTCCCAGAAGGTAAAATTATAAGCGTCTTCCACTGTGTGCTTTACCAAAGCCCATTATTGACAAAACCCTATCCATCTACTCCTCTTCCTTCTCCATTTCTCAGGTGTAATCTTAGCTGCCCACTGACTCATATCACTCTTACGGAGAATGTCTTACAGTCCTCTGTATTTCATGATACCCAAGAGAGGGGTGCACACATTGTATATGTTCAATAATACTAAATTAATGATGAATTATTAAACAAAAAAGGTTGGAATTCCCAGAAAATCATTGTTCCCACCTCTGCTTGCAGAAATTATCAAGAAACGCACTAGCCTGCAAAAGAAATACCTTCTTCTAGACCTTTCCAAATTCCCTACTGGCCCCTATAAGATATGTCTGATAGCTGAAAGTAAACTAGTCTTTGCAAGCACTAAATTGCTCATCAGTCTTGCAAAGGATGTCATTTAGTCAATGACCTTCCCTAAGGAAATATAAGTGGAACATAGCTGCCTGAGAAAAATTAATTCACCCAACTCCAGTAAGTAGCTCACAGAGAACAGCTTTCATCATCTTAGGAGATCTCAACCATATTTCATTCTAGGTTTTCTTCCCTTTTGGGGAGTGGGTGGATGGAGGATTTGAATTATAACTGGCTAGTGCAGTTAGGTTTTTAAAGAGTTGTAGCCCAATGCTAAGTAGGCATGATGTCACCCAAAGTTTTAATTATGAGAGGACAAAAATGTAATACAATTCCTTGTATCTGAAAATATAAATATTACTTCCACATCCTAGCAAACTCCCCTAACTCTCCACGTATAGGTATAGATGGCAGGAGATGGAGATAATGCCCAGCTTGTAAATGTAAAGTAGACACAGGGACCAGCAACAGCTGGCAGGGGGTCCAAACTCCAGTGCCTTCAGGAGCCAAGCAGGTAGTATGAACAGTTAAGCAAACTTTATAAGAAAATCAGTAGAGTTAGGGGGAATGATGAAAGGCAGCTACTTTCAAGGTCAATGTGCCCACTACTGCATCCAGGAAATCCCTGCCATGCAAGAATGTGGGACGAAATTGTTCAGAACGTGGCAGAAACCCAGATTTTTTAGGTCAAGTCATCAAATATTGGCAAGTTATTCAAATTAGAGAGAAGAAAAGAAAAACAAACAAGCAAACAAAAACAACCCTGTTCCAATCAAGTACAACATGAAAGGTTGCTAATTTGTCATCTTTGGAAAACAGACTAAGGTTGGACTGGTATAAAAAAATTATAAAAATATATTCCTAAAACGAAATCCCTATTTCACACCCACTTTTAGTAACTGGATTTCTGTGTTAATCATCTGTGCTGAATACTTACATTAATAATCATAACGCAGATTAAAAGCACAAATAAAAAATTAGAATATAGATATCTAGATATCTAGATAGATATCTAGATATCTGTGGACAAAAAAGGGGCCACATACTAAACCTGACACACACAGGGGAGGCCAGTATGGCAGGCCCTACAGACTCAGACACCTAAAGTAACCATATAGGATGGTCTGAACATAAAATTCCAAACTAAAAGTGAGTCATGTCGGATAGTCATGGTGGATAGTCACGTCTTAGGCCTGCAGCTTCCTGGACAAAGGTCAACCTTTACCTTAAGTGAGCCTGTCTATTGTCTTTTTGCATCGAAGATAACATACCTTTGAACTGTCAGAGTAATCTTTCTCCAGACCCCTCAGGGCACAACCACACTGAGTAAAGACCACAGAACCCTCATTGTTTCCCACATAAATCCAAATGCTGTAAATGTTAATTAGTAACTATCCTGTACTCCCAACGTAAAAAAAGTATGTGTAGCTGTTTTACTTTCTATCTCAGAGATTTCCCGCTTTGCTTTCTCCCACCTCCTTAATCTATCACCGATGGATTTCAAATAACCCTCCTTACAGCTCTTCCTTTGATTCTGATGTACAAAATACGCTGCAAAACTGCCATTCTCCACTGCATTTTCTTAATCCATTGAGATTAAGAAAATGCAGAAAGTGTCATAAGTTTGGCTCAAATAAACTTATAAAAATGTCTTCAAAAATTTCTTACATCAACATATCAAATTTTTGGTTAAGAGATGACTCTAGGCACACTATAATTTTAAAAATCACAGGAAATTTTTAAAAATATATGGGGAAAAAACTTGTGACCAAAACTAAATGCAATAAAATCTGAAAATATCTGAAGCCAATATGGCAAGGGGTTAATTGTCTTTTTAAAAAATATGTATTTTTACTGATTTCAGAGAGGAAGAAAGAGGGAGAAAGAGATTGAAACATCAGTGATGAGAGAGAATCATTGATTGGCTGCCTCCTGCACGCCCCCCACTGGGGATGTAGGCCACAACCTGGGCATGTGCCCTTGAATAGAATCAAACCCGGGACCCTTCAATTCACAGGCTGATGCTCTATCCACTGAGCCAAACCAGGTAGGGCGATATAGATATTATTTTTAAATGTGACTAAAAAAAGAATCTTTGCAATGGGAAAAAACATTTTAAAAAATAATGTTAAATAATCGGTATTGGGATATAAAATTGGTGGAGTTTGAAAGAAGCTAAATTGCTCTGAATTAGAAAAGGGTGAGATATAAAGAAGCCTAAGGGAAAAATAATCTACAGAAATTGCCTATAATAGGGGGGATTTTAGAAACTGAGCTGGATAAGAGCAAGCAAAGAAAAATTCAGTGGCTAAACATAGTAATTTGGGGTGAACTGAGCAGAGCTGTCTAATGGCAACACAGGTGAAGCATGCGATCAACTGTATAAGGCAGTCCCAAGATATCTTCTGTAAAATCCACATATTGCTTTTTTTAGTTTGTTTTTTAAAACGAGAGTGGGAATAGAAGGGGCCATGAAGTACATAGTTCTATTTAAAGGCTGGCCTAAAGTAATTACAGAGAAGACGTGGAAAACTAGCCAAAATCTGTATTCCACAAGAAGGATTTGAATTTGCCTTTTACAATGAACCTAAACAGAAAGGTTTGGTCCTCATCAGAACGTCAGTGGAAGACAACTCTGAAAACATGAAAGAAATTCTGAAACAAACAAACAAAAAAAATATTCCTTACAATTGATTTGAAATATTTTAGAGCATAAAATTCAAATGACATGCTAGGTATCTTCTGTCTAAGATAGTTAAAATCTTTGGAAGTAAAATGATGACTTCTTTGAAGATTTCTAGTGAGAATTCGGAAATACAATTGTGTCTCTTGAACATTTTTTAAAGTGCTTTAATAAGCTGCAGTATTAAGATCCTTTCAGGGCATATCTTTCCATAGTTTTTTGTTGTTGTTTTTTCAAGCTGAAGTGTAGAGAAATTATCTTGGTTGAAGACCTTGAAATATTTAGAATCATGTATTTATCTTCTTTGAGTATTCTCATGTGAGGTTGTCTTGACGTCCACGATTTTATAAGAATCGTACCTGGTTTGAAGTAGTAAATTTGGATCACAACAGGTCAGCCTCCTTTGAAATACATTCACGTTGCAGACAATGGGGGAAGTCTTGTTCCAGTTTTCTAAGAATCTCCCTTTAGTGTGCACATTTTCCACGTGGGAACATGAGTGTGTATGAGCCTATCTCATCACATGCCTTCTCCCTGAGAGATGCTAGAGCATTTATGTATGAGTATTTGTTTCCCCTCAAAACATGTTTCCTTTAGGGAAGAAATCAAAGGATGAGTTTTCAGTCTTTGCAGGGCACCTACAAAGGCTTTCTAAAGTGAACCTTTATGTGCTGGAATATTCTATTCCTAATTAAAAGCAGCAAACATGAAAATGCCTAGTGTAGAATGGTGTGGTCATATAAGCCTTCACTGGAGAAAATACTTTCTTCTTATTCATGAAATAAAATTAAACTGGAGTACACTTTAAATCGACATTTTAAGACTGCGGTATAATTATATTTAAGGCACAAAAGGAGAAAAACTATGTATACTAAAATATTGACTGATACATACGAATATCAAATATGTTCAACAAAATTTTCAATGTAGTATTTCCAAACCACGTATTTAGAAAAATATGTCCTTGAGAAAAACATATACAATTAGTCCTAAATATCTGCCAAAATACGGCTAAAGAAATCAAAAGTAAAAATGCTAAAGAAGTGAAAATTAAGTAAATACTTTTCAAAAGGCACTCACCAATCACAATGGAAGATTCACAGTGATAATAACCATTACTTTGCTTTTTCTTCAGCATGGAGCAAAGATCAATGCGGTGTAGCATTTCTTCTCCAAATCTGTGACTGATAAATTTTTCATAGAATTTGGGGTCTATTTCTTTCACTCCCTTGAAATGACAAAACAAAATCACATCAATCAATCATTTCAGTCAGGTAGCCAGTGTGAACATATTTATATCACTTTCTTAGAATCTGACATTACATTTTGGTACACAGTACTAGCTTCAAGAATTTGAAAATGGATATCACAAAATTGTTGGAAAGCTGTTTTTAAAGTCTCCTTGTCTAGGATGAGCTATATAAAAAAAAAATCATTAAAGAGTGTTATTTTTAAATCTGGCAACATTCAAAACTTCATATACGTTAAGCTTCAGAAATAATAAAGTATTTCAAGTTGAAATTTGAGATATGAAGAAAAGAGTAATTATCACCAACAACAATGAAGAAATGAATTTTGAAAAGTGACCATAACATTTAATAGTGTACAACAGTTTTAATAAGATGGATGCACTTTTTAAACTCCTTATGTAAGAATCATATCAAAGACCGTTTAAGTTTATTTGAGCTGGGGGAGGGCATCAGTTTGAAGCACTTCCAAGTTCTTCTCTACCTGACCCTCCTTATTCTTAGTGGCTTTCATAGCAGAAAGAGGGCTGGTGAAAAATTATAGTGCGGTGCCCTTGATACCTCTGTAGTTTCCCCAGACAGATACTCTTCCCCTTACTATACAAATGGTCCTGCACCCAGTCTCAGTCCAAAACACAGTCTGTAAGATGAAGGTACAATACTATACAGGGCACGTTTACTGGCTGATCACGTATGAACTTTTCCTTTTCATTTATAATTTTTAAAATATTACCTTGGCAATATTTGTCAAGGGTTAAAAATTAGAAAATATGAAGAAACTAGAAAGAAAGAAGGAAAAATCATTCACAACCATATTTATATAAAACTAGAGGCCTGGTGCACAAATTCATGCACATTGAAAGGAAATTAATTAGAAGGTGGCCGACGGGGCAGGACTAGGTGAGATGGGCTGGACACGCCCTGGAGCCACCTCCCGTGATCCCTCACCAGCAGGCTGCACAGAAGGGTGTCTGTGGAATGAGCGGTGGGGGGATCCCTCTGGCAGGTGGGGTCCCTCGGCCTGGCCTACGGGGATCGGGTCAAAATTGGCAGTCCGTCATCCCCTGAGGGGTCCCGGAGTGTGAGAGGGCACTCTGCAAAGTTGCTGTCGCTCAGCAGCTCCTGCGTCGACCATCTGCCCCTTGGTGGTCATTGTGCATCATAGCTACTGGCCGGTCAGCCAGTCAGCTGGTCACTTAGGCTTTTATATATACAGATACATTATTAACACTGGAGTGTATATCCTTCAAGCCTTTTCTATACATATATATTGTTTTCAGAATATATTTATACAAATCTTACTACAAAACATACTTAGAATACATATTTGCTCTTTTTAGTCATAAAAATTAATTTTAAAAATATATAATAGATATAAAAACAAAAATTTTTTGATTAAATCACCCAAAATGGCTACTATAATTATATCATGTATTTTATTTTTCTCTGCAAAATAAAGTACTTATTATTTTTATAGGACTATGATTGTACCATGAAAACTATTTAATAACCAGCTATTTTGATAATTCTCCAAAGAGTCCCTCGTTCTCTCAAAGAGACAAATTCCCAGAACAGCCTACGAGGTCCTGCTGTGCCATCTCTGAACCTCTCAGGCCTGGTCTCCGACTGCTCTCCCCTGTGTCTCCCCAGCCTCCCTGGCTTCCTTGCTCTTCCATGAACATGCCAGGCACAAGCCCACCTCAAAGCCTATGTACTGCCTGTTCCCTCTCCTGGAATGTTCTTCTCCCAGATATCCTCAGGGACCATCTCCCAACTCCTTTAATTCCTTGCTTAGAAGAGCCTCACCTGACCATCCATTTAATTTGTACTTCCAAATCCTCTCTACCCGTCTCTCTTTATATAGATTTATGTATATTTTCCCACAGCATTTACCATCTATGTTACCATTACATAACATACTATGTAAAATGACTTTATTATGCTTATTTTTCATTGTCTGTCATTATGTATCCCTCCCCATTAGAATGTAAGCTCCACATAGAAAAGAATTTTTGTCTGAGTTTTAGTCACTGAAATATCCCCAGTGCCTAGAACAGGGCTTGACCTGGAGAAATGCTCAATAAACAATTGTCACAAATGCAAAGGAGAATTGTTGACAATATCAAATTCTATTCATTTCGGGTTCAATAAGAATGAAAGGGAGAGGATTCCTTTTGATTTGGTGAATAGAATGCCACAGCAGACCATTATGCTGAGGAGCAGTCAGAATACATGAGTTCAACTCCAGGCTCTGCCATTTTTCAGCCCTGTGGCTTCCCTTCAGTTTTCTCAACTGTAAAATGAGGTTAACATCAGTACCTACCTCAAAGTGTTATATGGACTAAATAAGTGAATTTATGAAAGTGCTTATACCAGTGAAATATAGTAAATGTCAGTGCGTGTGTGTAGCGGGATGGTGGGAAATGTGAGAGGCAGGGGGTTCAGACCCTTAGACCAGACAGAAGACAAGTGATAACTTAGCAGAAAAAGAAGAACCTTCAGATACCAATGCCAGCAGCATTGACTAGCCACTGTAATCTCCATTTGAGTTTTGTATCATTTTTTAAGGTAAGAAATAAGGGAAACATTCATCTTCTAACCTATTGGGTGAATTAATTTAATTTTAGCAAAAAGGAAGTACCAACTATTTTGCAAGAATTGTTCACAGATAACTCCCAACATGAACCTTAAGGTGTTAATTTTTACTAGCGAGTACAATGGAATTAATTATTTAACTCAATTTACAGAGAGAGCTGTGGTTCAAAGAGGCATGAGTCCTAGGAGACACTGAAATTACAAGCACTTATCAGAAAACATCTTCAATAATAAAGTATACAGAAACAGATAACCTGCTTTATCTCATGTATAATATTAATATGCTCTTTATTCTCCAGGGAGTTTTTTGTTTGGCAATATATTAAGTTTTATTTTCAGGCTCTTTGTCCCATGTCAATATATTTCTTTTCTAGTAAAATCTATCTGAATTAGTCTCGCCATCCAGCTGTAGCAGGTGGTATTTCTCTTTCATAATAAAAGAAAGGACTAGCATTCTAAGAATATAAATGAGTACATCAAAATTGGATGTCATTTAGAATAAGGGTAAGAAGTCTCCTATTTTCTGAATAGATCACTGGGTTGCCAAAATAGTCCCCAAAACATCACCCTGCAAGGTTATATTTTAAAACTCAAAAGGTGGGTGATGGCAGGTTTTCAGCCCCCAAATTATCCTCTGCTTCCTTTCTTCATAGGCCAGACCCTTTTCAAGGCACCTTGTCATTTAAAGATCGATTGAGGTGCATGTTAGGAGAACTCAAAGAAAATCACAAAAAATGGTTAAAGGTAGGAAAATTTGACTTACACAAAGGCTAAGAGAGTCAGGGTTATTTCAAATGTAGAGAAACAATATGTAGGGTATTTTCAATGAAACCATACTAAGAGTGCTTCAACACTGGAATTCTGAAGATGCTTGATTGAATGAATGCCTGGTATTCTGTTTGAAAATTATTTTGCCTTGGACCTAACATGGACAAGATATATTTTTCACACTTATAATTGTACCCAATGTAACTGACATATCAATTATACAACATAACATTAAAAGAGAAAATTGGAAGTTAAATACAGGATATTAGACTTTGAAACAATAAACTAGTGGTAAGAAACATCAAACAAAAATGCTTTTCAACACTTTCTTAATTAATCATTAGAAATGACTGAAGTTTTATTTCTCTTTAGCCTAGTTTTAGTCACAGTTTAGGGAAAATTATCAGTGATATTCAAAGCAGTTGATAACCTTTGATACAATGTACCATGAAGCCCCAAGGAACCTCACTGTTGATGATAACTTGGCACCCGAACAGCCAATACAGGAAAAATGCCATTGAGAGCATGATGAGTATTTTTAGAATCATCTAATGGCTGCATCTGACAAGTAATGGAAATCATTCGCTCAGAAAGCACTCACCGTATCATTTACGCTTAGCTAAATGATGTGTATAATTTAATATGTACAAAAGAGGGATCAGACTTATATTACTCTGCAACCAACTCTATTTTCAATATAGGAAGTAAAGCACCATGAAATATGAAAAATCACATTAGTTAACAATCTGAATGTAAAAATAATTCATTTAAGGTTCTGAAAGATAAACTACTATTATTCATCTTTAATTTCGATGAGCAAGTTATTGTGATCAAAGGAATGATGACATGTCAGTGTTATTAAGAAGGTTAAGACTTTTTATATAATAGAAGGTAATTTCTTATAGTGACTTTATAATAATCACAGCTTCCATGATGAAAATACAATCAGGCTGCATATCAGACAAAGAAATTACGAGTCCCACTGATGGGAAGCTCGGCATGCCTAAAGCTCTACTGTGTTTTCCAGTAGGTTATCCCTGTCATGCAGGGACTAAAAAAGAAATGTGTGCATTTCCTGTGATGATGTCTTGAAACCAAAATTCAGAAGGTAAATTAAGAGCCAAACCAAACTGCCTTGTCATTTTGGGCATCAGCTGGTTAAAGAGGAATGGCCATTTTTTTACACTTGTTTTCGTGAGTGGAAAAAGGTTACCTATATTGGTTAAAAACTAAAATCATTTTAAATGATCACTGCTCCGAATGAAAATTTATGTTTTAGTGATTCAAAGTTATAAGATTATATATCGGCATGGGGCTTCTCTGAAGCAAATCTTACTTTACAATTCTTTTTTTTTTTTAACAACTGAAATTTATTTTCTCACAGTTCAGGAGGCTGGACGTCTGCAACCAAAGTGCCAGCCAGTTTGCTTTCTCCAGAGGCCTTTCTCTTTGCCACCTTCTTGCTGAGTGCTCACATGGCCTTTCCCTCGTGTCTTTTCCACTTCTCACTGATACCAGACATGTTGGATTAGGGCACTGCCCTTATGACCTCATTTAACCTTAATTACCACTGTAAAGACCCTGATTCCAAAAAAGTAACATTGGAGGTTTTAACCTA